AAAATATAATCCATGTTTTCCAGTTTTGAACAAAATTTAATTTTATCACCAAGTTTGTACCTTTCACTCATAATTAATTTTGTTCTGCTTACTTTTAATGACCTTTCTTTATTTCTTTCATTTACTGGAACAGGTATTTGTTATGGCCTGTCAGCATGCCTTGAGTATATGTTGAGAACGCATACACTAAACTCCAGCATTTTAAAGTGAAGCAAGATCTTACAATCACAGTTCAGATATAAAAGCAAAGCATTTCCACATAAGAAATATAATTTGAAGTTCTTGTGAAGAAAAAATTCAGTACACTGAAAATGAATGTATTTGTGTTTGATATGGCAGACATGCAGCTTAGGCACTGACATGTGCACTGAAAGGGTTGTTGAACCCTGAGTATTGCAGTCTGTTTTATTTCTCACAACAGTTCTAGTAGTGGTATTCTAACTGTGGCAGATTGTACGAGCTTGGTTTGCAGCCACAGCTGGCAAACTTGTATCCCCCAGTTCAGTATCCTGTAAGCAGGGGGACTAGAATGATCTCACCACTGGTCCGCTGGGAGCACTCAGAGGACTGGTACATCATGCGCTGCATCACAGAGGTAACTCCATATTTTGATTGTCTATAAATTCAAGTGCTTTCTGCAACAGCCACATACAGCTAAACACGGAATGTTGTCTTGCGTGACTTGATGTTAACACTTTGCACTACGTGAATTGATTGGAATGGCTCAGTGTACTTGTATAAAACTGCCGCAGACAAAAAGTTCTGTTCATTCTTAATCACGTAGTACAACGTTGTTGATAGATGGCATGAAGTGTGATATACTGATGTCTAGAGGAAAGAATAGGCTTTCACACTAGTTGTACCTGTGGTCATTTGGAGATAATCTGAGAAGTTACATGATTCTTCCTTGTAATTGAATTTATCCCAAGAAGCCTTTTGTTCCCAGCAGACAACTGTATGCCAAGAATTGCAGTCAAAGTGTTAAACAGCAACATTTGCTCAACATAACAATCCTTCTTTGTACATATTTCTAGCATTATATTTTTCCATTATATCAAAGTTCTCAGGCATTCACCTTGTAGTGTAATCTTGTTACTATGTTTTCAATTCTTGCCATATAAGATTATGATGTATAACAGTATCTTCTATCTTCTGCAAACATTCAATGATGTAATTTATGTAAAGACATTGTTCTTTCACCATTTTGTTATTTATGTCTGATAAAAATTTACTTTTAAGGTAGTTGCAGTTTCTCATATGACCTTATCAGTGTCTTATAGTTAAATGCTGCTAATATTTCATCCATCTTGGGAATTAATAGAGTAACCATGAAGTTTTTATTGGTATGAAGCTAAACTGAATTACTTTGTAACAGCTTGGCAGAATTGGCCCATAGTTAACACATTGCGGACCGGACGGGCCATATGTCCCTCTACGTTTCCAAGCGTTGCGGACCGGTCGGGCTATATGGCCCTCTACGGTCACGTTATGTTGCAAAACGCTATATATCGCTGTGTGGCTTCGTTGAATCATAACTACTGCGTAGATGACCTCGGGAATGATTGCTGCCTTATCTAGTAACTCGACCAGAGTCATTTCCTGTCACAACCTAAACAAAATTGGCTTTGTTCTAATCCAAGCTTGCACGTATGAACCATGCAGCTACCAGTTCAACATGGCTCAGAGACGAAAGCAGTTGCGATCTCTCGGAGGACCGGAAATATTAGATATGTTCTCCGATGAGCTATCAGATTTTCCAACTTCTTCATCTTCTGATAGCGAGGCCATTATGAGTGACAGTGACAGTGACAGTGATGGGGCCACAGGGCTGCCCAAAATGTGTCAAGTGAAAGTGAGAGCTCCGTTGAAAGTGCGAGTGTCGGGACAGCTACATGGGATAAAGTGGACAAAACCCCCACTTTGGGAAAGTTTACTGGTGATCCGGGGGTGAAGCAGATGCCATCGGACCCAACGGACGTGTCTGAAGTTGTGTCACTGTTTTTTGGAGATAGTTTCTTTGACGGAAGGGGGACATTCTTCTTCAGTCCTGGAGGGATACTCGCATTGTGAATATGGTTTCCACTATTCACAATTCGAGCATGGTCGATGTTCAAAGACGACATGGGCAAGTAAAGAAGCCTCTTTGTATTTCCGAGTATAATATGTTCATGAAAGGAGTTGATAGGGCCGACCAGTTCTTGGCCTATTATTCCCTTCCTAGGAAAACAGTAAAATGGACGAAGAAAGTTGCACTGTGGCTTATAAACTGTGCAATTTTCAATTCATTTACGGTTTTCAAAAAGGTGAACAGAAATTCTACTTTGAAATACAAAGCATTTCTGTTGAAACTGGCAAAAGCTTGGGCTACTGACATCACAGTGGCGGCAGTACCTGCATCAGACACAGATGTAGTGCAGCCGGGGCCATCTGTTCGCACCCGCCGGAGGCCTCAATTAGACTCCCCTGGCCGACTCTCGGGTGATATGTGGAAACATATTCTCGTGAAAATTGTGAAGAGTGAATATTGCAAGAAGAAACACCCTTCTAGGCAGTGCCGTGTGTGCGCAGAGCACAAGAAGAGGCGTAGAACTGCCTACATGTGCAACTTCTGCGTAATGCCTCTTCACAAAGGGGAATGTTTCCAGAGATATCACATGCGCAAGCACTTCTAGGAGCTCTGGTAAGTGTTCTCCAAAAATTTCAGTTCATAAAATTAATTAGGAGATTTTATATTAATTTTTAAAGTGAACAGTGCACAACTTAGGGTAGTAGGTATAAAAACGCCGGTCCCCATGGTGATTTAAATGTTTAAACCACCGGTCCGCAATATGTTAAGAAGAGTAAACTGTTATTTGCCTAAATACTGTGAAGCAGAGATGCTCTGGAAGAAAATCGGGCAGTCATCCCTCAACCAGTGTCACAAACTATGACTCTAGATGGAAGCATAAGCAATTTGTATCTCCTGTTGCATACTGTCAAAATTTGTTGTATAAAGATATATAAATTTAAAATCTTGTCTCACATCTCTGAGTTACATGTCAAAGATGTGTACTTCCATACCATAATGTTGCATTGAATTCTCTTCAGATTATGTTTATTTACTGCATTATGTACATGCCTAATGCTGTAATTTTATTACAGTCCAAAGACAAATCTAGTGAGCAATCTGTGTCCATCAGCTTGCAGGATGAATCAACAGAATACTTATCAGGACATATTGTTGATGGCAGAAATCTGTTTCCTGCCACAGGCTACCTTGTGAGTTTTATGAAACTTTATCTTTCACAAAGGAATACTATTAGGTGCTAAATGTAGTTTTAGCTCCTCTAATGGAAATATGCTCCCCCATCACTTCTGGTGTTATTACATTATCTTTTATTCTAAAAGAATGAAACTGATTTTCTTTGTGTGTATCCAAAATATTTATAATTGAATCATCAATTTCTAAGGAGAAATTTTGCCTTATGGCCTTTACTTGAGAGTTACAAAGTCTTGAAATATTTACAGATTTTTTTTTCAGCCAGCCATTGTTGTCTCATAAGGTATGAAAATGAGACAGAAATATCTAATTTTACTTTAATTTTTGGCTTAGTAGGAGGTGGAGTCCAACTGGTTCCACTCGGCACGGCGGCCACTGATTGGCCTATTGTACCTGCCCCGGGTGATTATGATGTAGAATTTGGTGAAATAAAGAT